TCAGTAGATACATCTGGACACTATCAGGTCCCTCTTTTGACTGGACTTTGCTCTATTATATGTGTGTGTGTGTGGGGGGGGAGAGGTTGGGTGGTTCATTAGAAATAAAGTGATACTAACAGACTCCTGATATCTTAAGAGCATATTGCACTTTAGAGTTCAGGAGTCCATTAACTGGAAATATCTGCTGTCTCCACAAACCACAGGGGACACTAGAGGGATAGAACACCACGAGGAAAGGAAAATCCTCTCCTGTCCTTATTTCATGAAACCCTTATTCAGCGCATATAGATGCTCAAGCCATCCCCTAAACATATATACAATGATATGGGAGCGAGACCTCAACATCTTTGGTTTCAGATGCACAGACCTCTATCCACTGAACAAAAGCAGTCTGCAGAAGGACTAGCCCCTATAAGGCAAAACTCACTCTTGAGCTCAGTGCAGTGTCTATGATTTATAGGTATTCTATCCAACGCTTGGTTGCAATAGTAATCTCTAGTTCTCAGACTGGACTAGTGGGAACTCCAAATCCTATGGATGTCAGGAGACTCTGAAGGGACCCGATTAGCATATTCCAATACATGATCTAGGCCTGAGATGGCAAGTACCATGGTCTTCAAACAACTAAATAGATACAGCACAGGAAATGTTACTATTGACCTTTGCCTCCAAAAACATATATCATGAATAAATTACTGTTCTAATGATAGTATTTTTATTTAATTAACTCTTTATGGGTCAGATACAACAGCGTTTCCAAGGGGCAGTGCAATGCGGAGCCCGGGTTCAGCTGGAGTCTTATTGTTTAACAGCGTGATTAATCAAGCGATTAAAATCACAATTATTTTTTTTAATCACACGATTAATCATGATTAATTTTTTAAATCGCTTGACAGCCTTAGTCAGTCAGTAATATTTCACTGCAGCCTTTTTCTATGACACATTGCTATCTCTGTTATTATTTGTATTCCAACACGTGGGCTGTACATATCCTTTTAGATTTCTTCTCACCAGAGCAAAACCCATTATCTAGATAGCTTCTGTCTTCACTTTGGTTCTGCAAGCCTTGTGTCCTTAAATATTCTGATTAATAGAATCATAGAAATGTAAGGTTGGAAGAGACACGAAGAGGACATCAAGTCCAGCACCTGTGCTAAGGCAGGACCAAGTACACCTCGACCTTCCCTGACAGGTGTTTGTCTAATCTCAAAAAATGGGGATTATACAACTTCCTTTGAAAGTTTAGTCCAGAACTTAACTACTCTTATAGTTGGAAAGATTGTACTAATACCTAATTTAAATCTACCTTGATGTAGACTAAATCCATTACTTATTGTCCTGCCTTCAGTGGACATTGAAAACAACTGATCGCTGTCTCTTTATAACCTCCCTTAACATAATTGAGGACTATCAAGTCCCCCCTCTCAATCTTCTTTTCTCAAGATTCAACCTGACCAGTTTTTTTTAAACCTTTCCTCATAAGTCAGGTTTCTGAACCTTTTATCGTTTGTGTCGCAACTAGCATTGCACACAGTACCAGCTATGGTCCCGCCAGTGCCAAGTGAAGTAGAACAGTTGCCTCATGCCTTATATCCAACACTGCTGTTAATAAAGCTGGAATTATATTAGCTTTTTTTCATAACTGTATCATACTGTGGGCTCCTATTCAATTAAATCACACTCCGCAGGCACTTTTCAGAAGTACTGTCACCTAGCCAACTATTCCCCATTTTGTAGCTTTGCATTTGACTTTTTCCTTCCCAAGTGAAGTACTTTGCCCTTGTTTTTACTGAATTTAATCTTGTTGATTTCAGACCCACTGTCTAAGTTATGTCCTTGAAAGCATCTGCAATCCTTCCCATTTTGATGTCATCTGCAAACTTTATATTACCCATGCCATTAATGAAAATATTCAATAGAATCAGACACAAGAGTGACTCCCGTATGACTCCATTAGATACGATCTCCCTTTTTGAACCCTAACTTCTCTTTACTGTAAGATGTGTGCAATTAATTACATCTATATCACATTTCCCTAGTTTACTTATATGAATGTCAAGTGGGACTGTGTCAAATATCTTACTAGATACTCAAGATATCGTATCTACTGCTTCCCCCCACTCATTAGGCAAATCACCCTGTCAAAAGCAGGAAATTACTGTGGTTTGACAGGATTTGTTTTTGACATATCCATACTGACTATTCTTTATAATCATGTCATCCTCTATGTACTTACAAATTGATTAAATCATTTGTTCTAGTATCTTTCCCGGTGTCTAAGTTGTATGACTAGCTAGTAATCCCCTGGGTCCTCTTTGCTTCCTTTTAAAATGATAGCTACTATATTTCCCCTTCTCTAATTCTCTGGGACCTCATCCATTCACAAATTCTCAAAGATAACTACTAATGGTTCTGAGATTGCTTTGACTAGTTCTTTAAGTACCCTAATTAGGCCCTTCCAACTTGAGATTTTGACTTGATGCTTCCATATTACTTTTATGGAAAAAGTAAAAATCCGAACAACATACTACTTGATACTATAGAAATCCTGTTAGCTTTAGAGAACCTAAAGGTGACTATGTTTTATGTTCAGTCTTATACCAATGGAGAAACCACCACCCTCAATGTATTTGCTGCAAAGTTATACCCACTTAATAACACCTCATGCATAAACAAGCCACTGTCCAAATCAATTTAACAGTACTAACTCAAACAACAAAGCAAGAGTAGGTAAAAGATATTTAGAAATTTCAGTCTAACACACAAGGTTTTCTAAACTAGCAATGAGAACTTTGGAAGGAATCCGATGATCAGATTAGTCCCAGCCAGGGCTGAAGTGAAGAGTAGCGCAGGTCAGAGAAACCTGTATGATTCTAGAATCCACTCCCACCCTGGGTCCTCTGTTGAAATCCTGGTTCTGCAACTGCAGGTCTAGGGGCAGCCTGCTTCCTGAAAGCTGACAACTGCCTTATCTTGATTCTCTTGGCCAGAGTGCAGCTACCATGGGAGCAGATCACATGTGGCATTAAACCCATAGGCTCAGGCTTTCAATCTCACTTTGAGTCATCAACATCAAGGAACATTATGCACAGAATTTAAAGTGAAAGTAGATCCCTTAAAGGATTTCAAAGGATTTAATAAGGAGTGCAATTTTTACTGGCTAATTTATTTTGCCATTAATGTATTCCAGTCACAGTCCTTATTTATTCTTATTTTACCTCTATGCACAGAGCATTGTAGCACTTCTGGCACTCATCTTGATACAAAAGAGAGGTGACAATATTCTTTTGGTTCTACATTGCTAATATCTTGCCCAGACCTAGCCTCTCCTGACCACTTCCTTCCCCTCTTTCCCATTTGTGTAAAGCTGTCTTTTCCTCCTACTGTTCCCTGATGTGAAAGTAAAAAGGGGGAAAAAAGAAATCTGAATGGTGTTAGTTTAGCAAACTGCAAGTAAATAGTCAAGTGTAGGCAAATCCCCTTCCCAAAAGATTCCAAAATAAAATAGGCAGATTTTCAAAATCACTATATCCTTGAAACCTGATTATTAAAATAGGGGTTCTAAAATATGCCTATTCAGTTTCTTTTTTGTCATTAATCCAACAAAATTGATCACATTATATATTTAAAGGGAGGTTAAAATAAACTAATAAAGTTAATCTCTGCCCTTAGCTTTTTTTTACTTTTGTCCTGATGGTTTGCCAATTTTTCCTTCTCTAACGGCCATGAATTTCAAAAAGGCTTGCACAACACCCTGATTTCTTTGTAAGTAAACAATGCCATTCTTTAAAGGACTGGCTGAGCCACAGTTTTGCAGCATGAGATTTCCCTCTTAAAGCAGCAGTTTCCCACCTGTGGTCTGCAGAAGACTTGCTGGCAATCTACAGAGAACTGGCTGGTCACATGGTGCTGGCTCCGCTCCTTCTTTCCAGCTGCTACGTTAACAGCAAAGGCAGCTAAAACCCCATTAAAGATTAGCACAATAATACTTTTCCTTATAAGCCACTACTTTAATCAGGGATGGTATGGTATGTTATTACGAGATAGGAGTGGGTAGATATCTGCAAGACACACGCTCTCATCCTCGCATATAGTTCACCGTTTGAGAACCCTTGATAGTCAGTTTCCCTGTCCTGGGAATTTGGGGGAATGGAAGTTTGGGACCAGGAATTAAATCATGTTTTTCCACATGGCCATCAAAGACAATAGGCTACCTGCTTGTTTTAATGAAAAATCTGGGGTTTTACTTTCCCAACAAGATCACTATTACATTGCTTTTATTGATGGTGCCATCAGAAAAGCTGCCACACACAAACATAGGGTTAAAACTGTCTGACTTGGGCTGCATGGTAGTTTTCATGTGTTTGCAAAGTAGCAATTGCATTGTAAGAAGAGAGAGAGTGCAGTTCAGAGACGTGCAGAATTCTACATTACTCCTGTTTGAGTATGGTTCAGATTCAGTGGAACCCTCCTCTAACCCTACAGAAAGACTACACTTAAGGAAAAGTTCACTGTGAGAAGATCAGCAATTTGGAATGTATGGAAACAACTTGGAACTTTCATTTTACTTCACCAACAGGGAATTTGACTTTAAGTCACCTCATGTACTCAGTCTGCCCTAAGGAAATTACACAACTGACCTAGATGATCACTGAATGCACAATACCAATATATCACAGCAAGCACTTAGTATTGCAGAACTGGATTTTCCTTTATATGCATATTAATGGGTAATTCAGCTGATTTCTTGTTGGCTGGCAAGATTAGAGTGTGCAGGTCTTTATTCCATTATAAAGGTATTCTGGACAAGTCTATTTTGTCTAAGGGAAAAAATTTATTACAGTGTCAAGTGAATCAACAGGTTCTTTTTCCTGTTACTCAAAGTAAGACAACCTCAACTGACATCTAATAATGATCACTAGAGAGCTTGTTCTGCTTAAAACAGACCAGATTATAGCATTAAGTTTAAGATTAGAAGAATTCAGTAGCAAACTTACTTTCCAGTGATAAATTGGCTTCTGGAAGGCGTGCACATGGGCTGAACATAGTAATTCTCCAATTTAACCCCTTCCGCGGCCAGCCTGTCCAGCGTTGGTGTCCTGATCTCTGATCCGTGGTACCCTACATCTCGGAATCCCTGATCGTCAGCCAGGATAAAAACGATGTGAGGCTGAGAGGTGGGGGCGCTGGCCGCCGGCTTCTCTCCAAGCTCGGCTCTTGTGGGCTCGGTCTCCTCCAGGCTGGATCCGAGGGTGTCCCAGGACAGGTAGCCGTAGGTGAGGAGGCTGAGCACGGAGAAGCCGGCCAGCAGCCCCCCGGCTAGCATTGTCCCCTTGCAGAGCCAGTGCTGCGGCGCACACCTACCGGGGGCCATTCACTTGGGCCACAGAGAGCACCACGCAGAGGGGCTCGGGGCACGGGCAGCCTCAGGGGGCTTCCACCTCGGGCGAGCCACGGGGAGCCCAGCTCATCCCGACTTCAGCTGCCTCTGCCGGCGGGGCGGGGGGAGGGCGCTGACCCCAGCCCCTCCTCCAGCCCCCGCAGCACGAGGGTGGCCGAAGCCAAGCCAGGATCAGAGCATCCCGCGCCGCTGCCCCGCCACTTGCAGCCCGGGCACCCGCGGGGAACCCGCGCCCATGCCGGGGCGAGTGTGGCCGAGCCCGGCCGGGGAGCTCCGCTGCCCGCGAGCCGGAGGAGCAGGGGGGACGGAGACACGCCCGGGCGCTGGGGGCGGCTGCGGGCTGGAGGAGACGCTCCCGGGCGCCCCAGGCCAGTCTTCCGCCCCGCTGCTCATGCGGGAGGGAGAGACCGAGGAACCAGCCGCCCCGCGAGCCCGCGCTCCTCCCGCCCGCGCTGGCGCTGCCGGGCGACTCCCTCCTCCCGCCCCGCTCGGCGGGAGCCTCCCCCCGGCCTCCAGCTGCTCCCTGCCCGGCCAGCGCGCACACAGGGACCTGCCGCCGCGCTGAGCCCTGGCTCGGGGACCCCCTGGCGGGGCGGCTGGAGAGGGGACAGGGCGGGAGAAGCCCTCCGAGCTGGAGTCAGCGCCTCGCCGCTTTCAGCCCAGCCTCACCCCGGCTCGGTCCCCTCTTTACCTCGCGCTCCTCGCCCCCTTCTTCCTTTTCCCCTCCCGTCGCCATCTGCCCCCGGTTCCCTTTCGCCCACCCGCCTCTGTCCCACTGCTCTGCCTGCAGGCTCGCCTCTCTCCGCTGCCCTCCCGCAGGCCAGTGCTTCTTAGCTGGAGACGTTCCCTTTGCTTTGCTTTCCCTCCCTGCTTCCTTTTGGCCACAGCCCCCCTTCTCCTGCCCTGCCTGCTCTACTCCTTTGCCTCTCTCCTCGGACGGCGGCAGGCTCCTTCCAGGCTGCAGCTGCGTTGCTATGAAAAAAATAAAAATTAAAAAAAAAAAACCTCCACAAGCCCAGGGCCTGAAACGAAACTAACTCTCCCCCAGCGGGCCCCAGCTGCTCAAGATCCAAACTAAGGAGCTCCAGCTCCTTGGTGCACTTCTCAGTTCCCAGGCGTCCCCGGTGCCAGAGCTCAGGCAGCGCATTCCTGGCAGCCACCTCAGCAAGACACCGTTTGTTTTAAAGTTTTTCTTTCCTTTCTTAAAACAATCCCGAGGCCAAAGCCATGGCTGGCTCCCAGCACGGGGATTTTCCCTTCATCTCACCTTCTCTTTTGCAGAGTTGCTCAATCATTTTCTCCTTGCAAAAAATGTTTGCAATGTTTCTTGACCTTCACGCCAAAGCTGGAAAATATGAATGCGCACCATGTGTCAGCACTGTCAGACCTATTTACTACTGCCTCTTTAATTCTGGTGCAATTGAGGCAAAGGTTTGGAGAATACTTTTTAACAAAAAAGTATTAGCAACTTTCTCTTTTTTTAAATGTGTGTTTGCAACAGTTTTTCAAATTCTTGTTAAACACCATGTTTCCCCTCCTTTGATTTGCCTGATATACCAGGGGCTCCAACTTTTAAAAATACCAAAATATGCTGAAACTTACCCTCATGCATGAATACATTAAATTGAATCAAATGTGCTGGTTTAAGCTGATTAATATGAATCACCATGAACACCTTTTAACCTAACTGGATTACTTGTAAATCCTTAACTCTTAACCATCCAGTCAAAGCAAAGCCAGATTTACCACACTTCCAAAGCACTATTATCTTCACCTTCAGCTCTTAAAAGCTCAAAGAATCTTCACTAAGGCACGAATTGGTTAGTATTTCAGCTGGAGGAATATTTCTATTTTAGTAGGAATGTTTGGCTCTGTGCTCTTATAAAAATGAGGCTTCTCAAAAAATTAGTAAAAACCAGAACTATTCTGCAAAGCGTGCCATCTGTTTCACAATGTATGATTTTGATCTTCCACACTGTATGTTTTTATGCTTTTAGACTTCACATTATTTGAGAGGGATACTTCACTATTTGTTTGAAACCATTTTCCCACTGTATAACTCTGCATTCACTGATAATTACGAGAAAAATAAAATCTAAGCTAATATTCATTATTAAAAACTAAATTACATTATGAAGAGCATAGGAATTAGCACACAAGTTAAAGCCAATGATTTACCTACACTGATATCTGTCCTTTCCAGTGGCCAGCATTAGATACTTCAGAGGAAAGTGCAAGAAATCTATGACGTACACTTATGGGAATCATAGAAAGTTTCTACTTAACCAATATCTATTAGCGTTTGTATAGACCCTGAAGCGTGCAGGTTTCTATCCTTTAACTTTTAAATGCCATTTGATATAATTGCCTGGACAGACATTTTGCTTGGTCTTTTGTCTGGACAGATATAAATTAATACACAGCAGCACTTAGTGTCACACTAAGTACCAGGCACAGAAGAAACACTGTAAACTTTAATTTGGGCCAAAATTTAAATGATGTAAAAATAATTTTATAAAATGTAAAACCAATACAAATGTTTTCACTGAAAAATTTCCAGTGAAAACAGTTGTTTTAAATGAAGTAAACACTCTACTGCAGCATCTGAAACCCAAGCACTGCAAGGCTACGTCTAGACTGGCAGGATTTTCCGGAAATGCTTTTCATAGAAAAATTTTCTGTTAAAAGCATTTTCGGAACAGAGCATCTAGATTGGCATGGATTCTTTTCCGCAAAAGCACTTTTTGCGGAAAAGCGTCCATGCCGATCTAGATGCACTTTTCTGCAAAAAAGCCCCGATCTCCATTTTCGCGATCGGGGCTTTTTTACGGAAAATAAATCTGAGCTGTCTACACTGGCCCGTTTAAAAAAAATTTTGCGCAAAAGGACTTTTGCCCGAATGGGAGCAGCATAGTATTTCCGCAAGAATCACTGATTTCTTACAGTAGGAAGTCAGTGCTTTTGTGGAAATTCAAGCGGCCAGTGTAGACAGCTGGCAAGTTTTTCTGAAAAAGTGGCTGATTTTCCAGAAAAACTGGCCAGTCTAGACACAGCCCAACAGTAAGAACATGATAATAAACTCCATTCAATGATTTTAGATCTCCAACTTAAGGGTTTATCTACACTGGAAAGTTTTGCTATATAACTATACCACTATAACAATATTGATTTGATTCCTGGTTTTATTCCTAACTAAAATGACTTTTTAAATGAGTTTAGCTTAAATATAGTGGTGCAACTAGAGTACATTTCATATTGGTATGCTTCACCAGCTAAAAGGGGGTAGTATGTCCATATTAATACCAGCCTGACTCCTCATGTGACTCTTCCTTCCAATGCCCTGCATTCTCCCCATCCTTCTTCATGATATCCAGCCCATGTTACGGGAGGAGGGGACAGGGAAGACTGTTCTCTTGCTGTACTGGGAGACCTCTGAGTGGCAGTTCCACACAGGCAGCTCCTCTGACACAACCCCAGTCTTCCACACAGCTGCGTCTCCCAAGTCCTTAGGGTTGCCATGTGTCCGGTTTTGAACCGGACAGTCCAGTATTTGAGCTTTCTGTTTGGGAAACAAATTGAGAAAATATAAATGTCCGGTATTTTCTAAATAAGATGTAATGTAGATTGTGATGTAATGTCAAGAGTGTCCGGTATTTTTGTTGAAACAATCTGGCAACCCTACAAGTCCGGGTCTAGGAACTGTACAGCAATATCATTGGAGAATGGGGTTGGGCCCTTTTATTGGAATGAGAGTAGGCAGAAGATGACTTTTATGGCATTGTTGTATCTGTTTAAATTCATGCCTTACCTTATACTGTAATAGCTCATATATGTATATATACACACACACACACCACCAACAAAAAAACAACCCACAACAAACAAAATATATGTTCAGTATGAACTGTAAATTGAATTGAAAGTATTATCTTACTTTTAATAATTGATTCTGCAGGGAATTCAATTTGTGTTTTCTTTAGTGCATACTGTAACAATGTATCTTAGATATATACAGATATTTAGAGCACCTTATAAACTAACTAGGCATAACACTATGAATATTGTAGTGGAGTGTCATAATCATTTAAATAAAACATATATTTTAAAATTATCAGTTATTTTCCATCCCTAATTTATCCCAAATGTTTCAGGAACATCCAAAATGTTCAGATAAACAGGGAGTTGGCTTCCTAGGATCATTGCTGAATAAGTGATTAATGCTAATGAACAGAATTACAGGTTCAGAGAAAAGGTGCTTGGGTTTGAAAATGTTTAAACAAAATATTTTTACTGTTCAGACACAATAGAATTTATCTTTGGATAATGAACATGGGAACAGCTGTATTACCAGACAAGAACAGAACACACATTCTTATTTTCCGGTCCTCCTTTATTAAAGTGTTTCCCTTACTCATGCAAAAAACAATTTAATACATTCCATGCCAGTCACTGTCAAAGGTCTAAAAAACCTGGCTGCTTTTCTATGTAAGCTTGATAAAAGCTTGTTGTTTTTTTTACAAAATAGGCTTGCGTCAGCATTGCACTACCCTGACCTTGGAGTAAGAGTGTCTGGCTGTCTTTGATTAATATTTCACTTTACAGATACCAGTTATCCAAAAGATTTTCTAAAGAATAACGTGTACAATCTGCCCAGAATGCTTAAAGAAACTGAATTAGAAACTACATAAAGTGTTTTTACTTTATGAAAAGATACTCAACATTCATATAAACCTGAATTTGAAGGTACTTTGCCCATCCTTTTTGTATGGAAAGTAATAACTGCATACAAATATTACATTATAGGAAACCAGTGTGGTGCAGCCTGTAAGTCACATTTCTGGCATTGAAAGGTCATAAAACTGATTTAACTGATACAGGGAGGATCATCTTGGTGTAAGGGTTTCATCTGGTGGTAAGGGCTCTTAAAATACATTGTACCTGAGCACCTCCCTGTCTTTAATATATTTTTCCTCACAACATCCCCATGAAGTGGGGAAGTGCTATTATCCTCATTTCACAGATAGGGAACAGAACAACCGAGAGGCTAAGAGTCATATCCAACATAGCATAGGACGTCTATGGCATAGCAAGGAATTCAATCCAGGTCTTCAAAGTCTTAGGCAAATAATACCACTGGATCATCCTTCATGTTACAACTACCCCATAACTTTCTTGCTTTGATGTAGGGAGATGCAGCCCTTGACACTGGATACTCACAGAAATTCCAGATCTTCTGCATCCAAAGTTTCACTGTACCGTTCCCCAATTTAGCAGCTTTATCTTAAATTACCACTTCTGTAAGTCACACAGTACTTGTGACTACTAACATAAAATAGATTGATTTGAGAAAGAATAAAGATTTAACTAGAAACAAGAGAGCAGTGGAAACGAGATGATAATACAAACTGAAATCATAACACATTAATCCAGGTCTACATTTATCAATAATGTTTCCCATCTAATGTAGGCTTTTTCTTCCCTATCCCAAGTTCAGTCTGTTGCAGAGATGCCTGGTATCAGAAAAATCAGAGTTCAAGTCATTTTTGAAAGCAACACTCTCTACCAGGGGTTTTCCAGTGACTGGATCCAGAACATCTTTCTTTATACTCTGTTATAAAGAAAACTGTCTTTATTTCTGTCTGTTGTAATGTTCTTTTTCACTGGTAAATAGTTGTGATTGTTGGGCAGTGCCTCTAATGGCTTTCCATTGGGTTTTTTTGGGAGGAGGGAGCAAAGCTGATCAATTGAGTCTTGCTTTACCTCAGTGGCTGAATATGAAGGAGTCCCCAACTTACTACTGCTTGGATGGGCCATACTCCGTGTTGTAAACAAACTCAGGAAATAAAAGTTTTATAAATGTAGGACAGCTGAAAAATCAAATGAGATCAGGTCAAAGTCTGTTTATACCACCCATGTGTTTCTATTTAGAGAGACCAGAACGGATTAACATACTATGGCTAGACTCTGATTTAAGGCATAGTCTGAGGAAGTGGCGGTAGACTAGGCCTAGAAGGCATTGTGAATCAGAAATGTATCTCAGTGTCACAATTTCTCCCCTGTTTCCTTCTGGGTTCCAGGGGATAGTAGTTAACTGCTAGCCTATATTAGATACTGTTAATAGTGAGTTTGGGATTAAAAAGGTTTAGATAAATGTTTCTTACCTTTATGAAAGACACAACACAAGTTACTCTGGAGAACCTGTATAAGAATGTTCCCCAGACAAGATGAAAACATCTCTTTAGATTTTCTTGTTCTGCCTCACAACAGTGATTATGTTGGCCAGCAAGTATGGAGATGAAGTCAAAGCTCTACCCATTACCCACATATTCTGTTGGGGGCATAAGAAGCCCTTACCTCCAGC